TGTGTATCTCCTTTCATCCGCATAAGTGATATTCTCAGCACCAGAACAGTGAAGCAAAGAAAGATTCCTGAGTTTGTTAGTAATTTTATTTATTAGGTGCATCTAACCTGTTCTATTTTTCTCTGAAATGAGATCAAATCAGTGCTTCTATGGGTTGTCTCCACTCTGCACTGGAAAATTTTACTTTATTTAGAGACTTGTTGCAGAAAATATTCAGAATGCGCAGTTTTTTGCTACCACAAGCGATCTCTGGTCCAGCTGCACATCAGAGCGGTATTTGAGCTTAACTATCCACTACATGAGCAACTGGGAGCTACATAGTATTTTGAACAAGTTAATGTTTGCACAATACGTTTGCAATTGACATGTTTGCACTTTAAATATGTTTACGATTTTAATTTATGTTAAGTTACTTGAAAAACGAGAAAAACTGATTTCTGTAATTGTTTCTCTCAGGGCTTTTATCATCTCTGGTGTGAGTTTAAAATATAAGTGTGTTAGCACTGAGTTGATTATCCCTAATATGAATAAATGTTTATTTATTCAATGTTTCCCTTCTTTAATACGCAATTGAAGTTATGCTGTTCATGGATAAAAAAATCGTGATAAAATCGAAATCGTGATAAAATATTGGAAAAATCATGATATTCTATTTTTGCCATATCGCCCAGCCCTATACTCCGGTAGCGTTACCGTTCCTCCTCATTAGAGCGCGGGTATGTTGGCGATGCGCACGGCTTGCTCTGCTACGGTTTCTCATCAGTATCAGCTGAGGGGAGGCCTGCACAGGCCTGTAAAGCACTGGGGGAAATCCCTAAACACAAGCCATCCTGTATATGTAAATATATAGTCTGGCCATGAGCGATTGAAACCACCGAGTCATGGGGCAGGATCTACAGTTGTCTTTCAAACTTTCTCTGCATGCAACTGGACAGTGCTAGGACCATCTGGAGCAATGAGCAATGTGACGTACTCAGCGCTTCAGATGTCAGTCAACGGGGCAGTCCACTGTCAATGAAGAAGCAAGCATCTCTTTTTTTCGGGAAAAAAAATCACTTAAGAACCTCTATCTGGTCATGATTCAAAGAAAAGCCCATGTCTAAATAGTCCAACAAATTAGATGCCAAAACCTCTTGAAATAAATGCTGTTCCTGAGCCAACGCCATCTTGGTTGTTGCAGCTCTAGCGTTAAGCCTGCTTTTTGTAAATATTGATTTAGGAGTCAGACTCAGTGCAACATTTCAGTGTTTAAAAATGTTCTTACATCCTTACCACTAAGCAATACTATGATCGACTTACTGCACATGGACATATTCTGCAATATTACAACATCAGTTTGGTAACTTTTCAGGAAAAAAGAGCACAGGTAGCAGCTTGTGTTCTGGCTCGGTCAATAATCATAATGGAGCACTGGGATTTCAGGCCATTCACCAGGGGCTTTACTGTCCCTTTACACCAACATGTAGGAGTCAAATGCTAAATCGTGTCAGGGAATAATGTTTCTCCCTGTACCATTCTGTATACAGTAGGTGCAAACAGACCTTTATGCATGTGTGCTTTTGTGCAACGCAGTAGGCAGAGTTGGCAGCGTATCGATCCCAACTGATTCCTCGGGCTCGGCCATCGATCTGCAGAGTCTTGAGCTTACTGAGCCTGAGCCAAGCTCTTACTTCATATTCCCCACAGAATCAGAATATTATTAGAATTAGCTGGTGATAAAAGCTAGGAGCTATGGAAGTGGTTATGTCACTACTTCTTAGAAGATTTACATAAAAGAGCTCCTTCAAATACCTTCTTTTAGCTTGTTGCCTTTCAAGCGACAAGTGTCTTCATCTGTATCAGTATCGCATTGATGGCGAAAGTGAGTGTTAATTAGCTCTGTTCCTGGAAAATATTATTTTAATTATGCAAAAGGTTGCATCTCCTTTTCACACGAAAGTGCACAAAGCTTTAAACAAATGCTGATTTACTCTGGAAGTGAAGCTAAACATGATGTGCCCTCAAAGTAGATTCTGACCTCATTTCCATAAAAAAACACTAGTTTGAACCAAACCATCTTTTATTCTGTCTTATACCAATGAGTCATAAATGACTCTTTTGTTGCAAATATTACAATCCAACCAGTTTGATATGATCATCACCCATCCACTCTCACTCTAACACCCCCCACATATACACAGAGGGAAACTTCAAAGTAACCATGGCAATATGCGACAAAGCCCACTGCATTGCATGCACAAAACAACACAAAATAAAAAAAGAAAAAACAAAAAAATACCAGCTCCACCTGGTCGTAACCATGACATTCACTCAGGAGGTAGGAGGACCAGCCACCCCAAAACCACACTTACTCTCCCCCCTTTGGTTCTGACGGGCAGGATGACTCAGGCATTAACAAACTCTGCCAAATATGTTGACATATTCTTCTGGAAGATGGCATGATCCTTCTGTTACTAAGGAGATGGTGCATAAACTCCTCTAGAAATACAGTAACTACAGTATCCAAGCGACCAGAACAGGGTTAGAAGCTGTTTCCATCCTCAGCTGCAGGACCCAAAGTGTGGAGGTTATCGCTGTCACCATCACCAGACAGCAATTATTTGAACCGATTCATTTTGCATGATAGCTTTGGGTCTAAAAATAGCCAGATGAACAGAAATATCATCATTACTTCAACACCGTGTTCCACTGGTTCTGGTTTGAGTGACACACATTTAATGACATCTTGTTGTACCCCTGATCCCTCCTATCATGCAGTATTGTAAAATTAAAGTATGCAAAGCCCAAAAAGCACACAATCTGATGTTAAATAACAAAGAATCCTTGCCCTCTTAATTGCTATCAAATAATACTGGGTTAAAAATAACATTGAACATTCCAATGAACATTCCATTATCTACCTTCAATAATTGATCGCAATCAATAGTTTCTGTTCAATGTGCTTCTGAGTACCTAAAGATTGTTTTAAGTCTGTTTTGATTGCTTGTACATATATAAATTGCTGAATTTTAAATAATATACAGGTGCTGGCCAGTAAATTAGAATATCATCAAAAGGTTGAAAATATTTCAGTAATTCCATTCAAAACGTGAAACTTGTACATTATATTCATGCAATGCACACAGACCAATGTATTTCCAATGTTCATTACATTTAAATTAGATATTCATAAGTGACAACTAATGAAAACTCCAAATTTGGTATCTCAAAAAATTAGAATATTCTGAAAAGGCTGAATATAGAAGACACCTGCTGCCACTCTAATCAGCTGATTTACTCAAAACACCTGCAAAGGCCTTTAAAAGGTCCCTCAGTCTTGTTTTGAAGGCACCACAATCATGGGGAAGACTTCTGACTTAACAGCTGTCCAAAAGACAATCATTGACACCTTGCACAAGGAGGGCAAGACACAAAAGGTGATTGCTAAAGAAGCTGGCTGTTCGCAGAGCTCTGTGTCCAAGCACATTAACAGACAGGCGAAGGGACGGAAAAAATGTGGTAGAAAAAAGTGTACAAGCTCTAGGGATAACCGCACCCTGCAGAGAATTGTGACGACAAACCCATTCAAAAATGTGGGGGAGATCCACAAAGAGTGGACTGCAGCTGGAGTCAGCGCTTCAAGAACCACCACGAGGAGACTCATGAAAGACATGGGATTCAGGTGTCGCATTCCGTGTGTCAAGCCACTCTTGAACAAGAAACAGCGCAAGAAGCGTCTCGCCTGGGCCAAGGACAAAAAGGACTGGACTGATGCTGAGTGGTCCAAAGTTATGTTTTCTGATGAAAGCAAGTTCTGCATTTCCTTTGGAAATCAAGGACCCGGAGTCTGGAGGAAGAGCGGAGAAGCACAGAATCCACGTTGCATGAGGTCCAGTGTAAAGTTTCCACCGTCAGTGATGGTGTGGGGTGCCATGTCATCTGCCGGTGTTGGCCCACTCTGTTTCCTGAGGTCCAGGGTCAATGCAGCCGTCTACCAGGAAGTTTTAGAGCACTTCATGCTTCCTGCTGCTGACCAACTTTATGGGGATGCAGACTTCACCTTTCAACAGGACTTGGCACCTGCACACAGTGCCAAAACCACCAGCACCTGGTTCAAGGACCATGGTATCCCTGTCCTTGATTGGCCAGCAAACTCGCCTGACCTTAACCCCATAGAAAATCTATAGGGTATTGTGAAGCGGAGGATGCAATACGCTAGACCCAACAATGCAGAGGAGCTGAAGACGACTATCAGAGCAACCTGGGCTCTCATAACACCTGAGCAGTGCCACAGACTGATCGAGTCCATGCCACGCCGCATTACTGCAGTTATTGAGGCAAAAGGAGCCCCGACTAAGTATTGAGTGCTATACATGCACATTCTTTTCATGTTCATTCTTTTCAGTTGGCCAACATTAGAGAAACAAACATTTTTTCATTGGCCTTTAGAATATTCTAACTTTCTGAGATACCAGATTTGATGTTTTCATTGGTTGTCACCTATAAATATCAAAATTAAACGTAATAAACATCGGAAATACATTGGTCTGTGTGCATTGCATGAATATAATGTACAAGTTTCACGTTTTGAATGGAATTACTGAAATATTTTCAACCTTTTGATGATATTCTAATTTACTGGCCAGCACCTGTACATGTGATGGCTCAACATCTCCACCTATAAACATCAGCAACAAAAACGAAAGAAAAAGTAGGCATACCAATTCAGGGAACACTGCCAAGGCTGTAGTATGAAAAAACAGTAACTTACAAGGCCTTAAGACCAATGTGTTTTTCAATCTATGTCCTCTATAAAGAAATAACTGAAAGCAATAAAAAGATCTCCTTGCATTGGAAATACAGAGTTCACATTAGGGCTGCAACTAACGATTATTTTCATAATCGATTAATCTGTCGATTATTTTTTCGATTAATCGATTAATCGGTTTGTTACTGTTTAGCTATTTAACCTATACAAGTGATGGATGCATTTCAGTTAAGAAAAAAAAAACATAAGAGAATTGTGCAGTTGACTGCAATCTATTTTATTGCACATGAACACAGTCAGCAGTAGAAAATGAGCTAAACAGTGCAAAATATCAGTCCAGAATAATTTTTTAGCATTAGCTGGAAGCCTGCTCCTTCCACCATGGATAGTGGCCTCATGTCTTTTACCAGCATGTTTAGAATAGAGTTTGTAAGTGGTATGAATTGCTGGGGGGTGAGTGTCTTGTTCCCCATGTAGTTGTCCATCGTTGCTTGTTTTTTTCTGCATAAGAAACACAAATAGACTGAAATAAGTACACATATAAAATAAAGCAGCACACACACTACAACACTAAATCAATGTTAAATTATTTGAATTAATTAACAATATACAGTGATCATTTATTTTGAGGGTTACGTTCTACAAAATAGCCCGCAACAGGAGATATTAAGAAAAAAAGTCTAATTTTTTTACTATTAAAAAGCTCAGAGTAAGAAGCTCATGAGGTTTTTACTTTGAGTCGGGAGTGTTTAAATTAGCTAGAGAAATGTGAAAAATGTTTATTTTGTGTAATACTGTTTAAGAAACATGATAAAAATGTGTTGTGAGGCGTTTTACAGCGTTAGACAGTAAAACAGCCTTTTAATAGTAAAAAAATGACTTTTTCTGAATTTCTCCTGTATTTAAAAATTGAAAGCGTACAACTATGCCGCGTTATATTCACCTGGACACAGCTCGTCTGTATATTTTTCACCGCAGAGTTGTCCTTTTTTGAATGAGGAACATAGTTATGGGTTTGTGCCGTTTTTCTCTTAACGAGAACATTCTTATAAACAGACGTGCTGAATTTGGCAAGCGCATGATTCACAACACGGAGGAGATTCACGATTGCATCTAGTCAATCAGAAGTAGAACACCGTAGACTGACGCGACAAAAAAACATGTTTAACATCCACTATAACGAACTCAGCTAAAACACTAAGTCCAGCTTGTTTATTTTCTGTTACTTACCGGGCTGGCTCTTCCAAATGACGGCTCACTTGACCGCGGTGCTCTTCCTCAGCCCCCACGTTTTCGTCTCAAATGTTCACTTAGGGACGTCGTGCTTCCGTGCCATGCTAGATGGTTTTTGCATATTTTGCCTTTTCAAGGCATCTAGACTGAAGTGCTCCCATACTCGTGAGGTTTTTGTCCGGGGTTTCTCTAAAGTTTTGTCGCTTCTATTTTCTTCCGTATTTCCTCTTGTTCCGCCATCTCTCACAGCAAGATGAGCGTCAGTAACGTGATACGTCATGAAAATCGAGGGCACTCATTGGCTCATTTCTTCTTCTACGGCTCCACTGGTAGATCAGTGGCTCATTACTGCCACACACTGGCGGCAAATTTAACAGCTTGTAACCGATGTCAGATTGTGGTAAAAATAGACTTTATGCGGTAAAATATGATTATTAAACAACTAATCGATGACTAAAAAAGTTGTTAACTATTTTAATAATCGATTATAATCGATTAAATCGATTAGTTGTTTCAGCTCTAGTTCACATTTTGCAGAAATTGCAGGTACAGATTTACATCAGCAGGTGGCAGAGATGTGCCGTTTGGTGGTGAGTAAGATTTATTAGGGTATAAAATATAGCAACAAAAAAAATGTTTTTTTTAGACTGATGCTTAACAATACAATTTCATGGAAAAATACCACAGAAACAGACCATAAAGCCATTCTTCTCTTCCCCACATAAAGCTGCCAGGGTGTTTTGCCCTCACTCTACCATGTTCACTCATGCATTATTTTCAAAACACCGCAAGAGGGGAGTTTAACCTTCAGATGGGGTGTGAGTGTGAATCATCTGGTAAGCAGGACAGAATAATACAATTAAGTGCACAGTTGTGATGTCTGGATACAAATTCACTGTAATCTCTAGTTTAGACTACACTTTTACTCTTTGTTGGTGCATTTGTAGTTAAATTAGGGTATACTGACATTTTATTTTGGGGGAAATCCTCCACAGCTATCTTTAAATCCCATGCCATGCACTGTGGAGCTCAAGGCACGTGCAGTTGTTAGCCTATGTAAAAAGGAAACCCCTATCTTATACTAGAAAACTCCTGGAACAAAACATCCCGTGCGCACATGTTTATTATTCCTCTATAGCAGCTTTATAACATTTATGACCCTATTTTTGACTAATGATCAACCAGAGAATACCAAGAAAACAGATAGTTGTCAAAAGTGGCAACAGCTCAAAGCACGCCGGGTAAATGTGTATTAAATCTCTTTTTTATGAGCTCAGTGTGATGTTTATGCTATAAACACACCAGCTTTGCTTTAGCTTTGCACAAACCCTAATTGGGTTCATATGGGAAAAAATTCGCACAGGATAATTACATGCAGGTGTGCGTAATTGAGATAGCTGTTACAACTCGTTTTAACAGCACAAAGTCTTAGAAAAGTGTCAAATTATCAACTGTGAGCGCCATAAAACAAGTGATGCAACTGAAATAAACAGTATGCTTTAGGGTAGACGCAGAAAGTTGTTCATTCCACGGGTTTCTTGCTCCTGTCACACGAAAATCGAGTCAATATGACCTCTCCTTACCTGCAGGACACGGTGATTTCAACTTTGGTGGCAGGAATGGACGCGTTGAGCGGGTCGAAGTCGCCTATAGACGCCATGTTTAAGAAAGTGTTGTTCATCGTATCAAAAATCTTTTTCCTGTACCGCTGCCCTGCGGTTCAGCCCCTTTTTCACGTTTACGAGCGACAGAGGAATGTGAGGAGGAGAAACAGTGCGCGCGCCTCCTCGGCGAGATGTGTGGAGCAAAGGTGCCGGGGAGAAGGACAGAGGGGCTGGGTCTGGGAAATGTGATGTCACTTTACTCCATCTCTCTCTCCTCTGTGTGCTTATTCATCAGTTTTTAATTCCTCTTTTATGCCTCTTTGCTTTACACTTCCCCTTTTCTAGTCCAGTTCAGCTAAGCTCCCATAGATCCAGCAGCAATTCATTTATTGGTGTGGAAGTGGTGATACAATAACCAATAAATCAAATAGAAAAGAACATTTTTATGCTAAGTCTTTCCTATCATTTCCCCTCCTCCTGCCTTGAGTGGTCTCATTCACATCAATTCATTTGAGTCAGTTCATTTCACTGTGAGGTACTGGCAGCAAGCACCCGTTGGCCCGTTTTTCATGGCCGGATTAAACTTTTATCAGCACAAGGGTAAAAAGGGGCACCACTGGGACAAATGATGCCATCAAGGTTATTTAGGCTTTTGTTAGATGTTACTTCATTTGTACAGATATTAAACTCTGTACAGCGTTAACTGTTTGTATGTGTGGAGAACAGTGGCGGCTGTTGAAAAGAATTCTTGGTGTGGCTGAAAAGTCAACTCGCCAGTCTAGAAAAGCATTTCAACAAACAGTTGTAAAATTATCAGATTTACACAATAATCAAAGGTGTCAGTTAACTCGTTCACTGCCAGCCATTTCCTGATCAGAAAAGCCCCTGGTTTCCAGCGTTTTTATCGTCACAAAACATTGTCAAATCACATCAAATCAAACTTTATTTATATGGCACTTAATCATACAATGCATGCAACTCAAAGTGCTTAACAAATTAAAAAGGCCCCGTATACCCACATTTCCCTCCCATCCCCAGAATTTTAAAAACAGTCTGACAATAAAAACTCCTTCACAACACTCATCCTCCGGCGCACACACACACACACGCCATTAGGGGAGCCATCTGCCCCGACAGCAGCAGATCCACAGCAGCAGCCAAGGCACCGACACAGGGCGCCCAGGGCAGGGAGGGCGGAGACCCCGACCTCCACCCAGGCACACCTGGAAAGCACCCAGGCCGCCACAGCCGACCACCGCCCCCGGGGCAGAGGACTCCCACAGAGGAAACACTGGACAAAGGTCAAATTAAGGTTAAAATATGAAATAATAAGGGCTTAAATGAGAATTGTATCATAAAAAGTTATATAGATATTAAAATTATGTTGATCATAAATCTATGGTTTAAAATATATATATATATATATATATATATATATATATATATATATATATATGTGTGTGTGTGTGTGTGTGTGTGTGTGTGTGTGTGTGTGTGTGTGTGTGTGTGTATTCCTCCTCTGTTTAAAAATAGCATCTATAAAAATACATTAAATAAATAAATGCGTTTTCTCTGTTTTCCAGAAAAACTGTTTCCTAGATTTCCTACTTTCTAACTAATCAGCCAAAGGGATCTACCGAATGCAATAAATAAATAAATAAATAAATTGCTTAATATGCGCTGCGCTCCAGCAGCAATGAGTTGAAATCACCGGGTCACAGATTATGAACTCAGCTGAAAAGTACATGAAGTACCAGAGAATATGGGCTGATATAAACGATCGCAAACAAATTACTTTGTTTTGGTGGAGCTATTTTGTGAATGTAACAGCGGCCGCGCGCAGGACACAGCTGGAGTATTTGAGCCATTTCCGCTGCGTCCTCTCTGCTCATAGAATGCCCGCAAAGCTGAGTCCATAAATGACGTAATATATGTGGATACTGGATCTTTTTTCAGGTTTCCCGCAGTTTGAATTTTTAGGAAACCCACATCTTGATGCTGGGTTTAAAAATGCATTGTAATTACCACGTTACTGACAATTGTACCGAGTAAATATTACCATTTTCTTTCCCTGTAATGCCTTACATTACCACATTACAGCAAAAAGCAACACATTACAGTAATCAATTACATTTCTGCTGCGTTACTCCCAACACTGTTGATGACGTACCTCTTAAGTCGGATTTTTGCACCATTGCTAAACTTGTAGACAACTTTCATATCTTCTTTTCCATGAAACATAATGCTCAGTAGTTATGGTTCTTTGATGTATTTGCATTGCACTACAATGAATTAATTTGTAATACATGAAGCTGGAACAGGTAGCCTATGGGGGTTTTCCCAACAGCACTACTCAGTGTGACTCGGATGGGTGCGGTTTGATTTGAGAGAGACTCTGAGCCGTATTGGCTTGTGAGTGGCCAAGGCAGCCAGAGGCATGGCCGAGACTCAAGTGCGGCGGATGTCAGAGAAGCTACATCAGAAATACTGGCTAACGTGGATGACACCAGCTTAGTCAATAGTGATGGCTGATGTTACTGATTCAAATTCAAATGAAATGCAGACTTTTAAGCTGAAATAGATGCTACAGTCAGTATGCTTACATGCACAACTAAGTCACCCTAGGTCGATCTGAAGTGATAAACTGGGAGCCTCCATCCTAGACACCTGGTTGTAACATGTACATTAGAAAGCCAAACTCTCAAATGTTCCACTCCAGTACAGTAGGTGGCGACATGCGCCCCTTTGTGTCGGCATTCTTCCAGTTAGCTTATAGCGACACAAAATAAACAAATGCTGGTGAGAGTGAAGCAGACAGAGTAAAAACAGGATATGCCCAATAGCCGAAGGAATGGACAAGAACAACGCTGCAGCACAGGTTATTAGGTACTGATGGCGTTACATGTACTAATTTTTGGCAATGATATCATCAGAAGACCGCCTCTACGGTCTCGTCACTTCCGGAAGTATCGGACTCTGATGTTTTGTATTTGTGCTGTTTGTGCTTTTATGTTGAGGAGTTTTTTGTATAATAGAGTTACTCCCCGCTGGGTCTAACTCTGCTATGCCTTTTTTTTTACCTTACCCCCAATTATCCTCATGTAACACCCTTTTCATCTATCTATTAAGGTAGCGCGACTCATGTTGCGAATGACCGCAGTCACCAATTCTTGTCATGTGTCTTGCCCATGTATGTCTGATCTCTGAATTGTGTGCACTGAAACTCAATTTCGTTTCTCTGTACGTCCTGCACATGTGGTAGAAATGACAATAAAAACGACTTTGACTTTGACTTTGAAGTAACCGGAATCAGCTCGACCGAGGTGTTGGAATGAAGTTGGGTACCTACAGCATATACTGGATGGTTCAGCACGATTAGAACCAGTTCTCCTTCCGCAAGACTAACGCGTTTACATGCATCAAAAAACTGATGTAAGTTTATTTAGGGCAGCAGTTCGGTTTTCTGATACATATTTAAACATAGTGACTGACCATTTTAGGCAGAAAATAATTCCAAAATAATGATTACACATCGATGCTTTCGTTCTTTTTTAAACACAGAAACAGTTTTGTTTACCTGTTAGTAGCTACAGTTTCGCCGACGGCTGCCGGCTTCTTCAGGCTGACGCTGATGGTGGCGCGTCACTTCCTTCTCCGTTTATCTGCGGGCAGCAGAGGACGTTGTCGCCCTCTACTGCCCGCTCTCCCCTCTCCGACGATGCAGTCCCATCCGTGGTCCAGCGTGTAAACTCCGTCGTCCCTGTTCATGGTCCCACATCCACGTCTCCTTATCTCGATTGCTTCCTTGATCCATCTTTTGTATTTTTGTTGTTCGGTGGTTATGATCCGTGTGCTGTCCCAGTCCATTATGTGGTTTTCTCTTAAGCAATGATCTGTTACGGCTGACTTTTTTTATTG